GGGCCAGGTGAACGGTGTCAGCCAGGTTAATGGAGGGACAGAGTTTGCCAGCTCTGTGGGAGGAGAGCTCAACAAAGGAACAGTGGCGCCTGCCAGATCTTTTTGTCCCTAGAGCGTTCCCACCAGTCCCTACCCCTCCAGCCCTCACACTAAAGTTAGTCCATCTAACGCCTCCCTGAGTGACCCAGGCATTTCTTGAGCTGCAGTCTCTGCGCTGGAGCTTGGAGCAAGTGAGTCTGGGCTCGAACCCTTTAAGAGCAGAGTTGCGGTCTCTCACCGCCGTCTCCCTCATATAATCGCTGCTGGTGTTCCAAGCCAGATGTTAGGAAACTCCTCTTACCAGCACAGTGGCTTCGGGCTGGGGAGGCTTGGACCCCTCTTTCCTCTGGGGCAACCTGAGATGTTCCCCCCCGATTATTAATGGCTATGTTTGGGGTGTGGGATCTGTGCGCACCACATCTGGGCCCCTCCTCTGCACCTTGATGTGGTTTCTACTTTTCTGTCCTTAGTTACAGGAGTTCTGTTCTCAGCCATGATGGTTCTGTAATTTTGATTTGTTCATGGGAGTGAGTTCGGGATTTATCTGCTCCACCATTTTGACTCCATCATGCCCCTGCTTTTAATATCAGAAGTGAAACTGCCGGATCCTGATAACTATTTTTAATTTTTTGAGGAGTCACTCACATTCCCACCAGCAGTTCACATGGGTTTCAGTTTCTCCACGTGGTTCCCAGAACTTACTTTTTTACTCATTGATAACGGTGATCCCAAAGGGTGTGAAGTGGTATCTTGTGATTTTGATTTGCGTAGCAATTAGCGGTGTTGAGCATCTTTTCACATGCTTATCGACCATTTGTTATTGACCAAATGCCTCTTCTAGGCCTTTGCCCGTGTTTCAAACAGATTGGGAGGTTGTAAGAGTTCTCCATATATTCTGGATAGTAATCTCCTGTCAAATGTGATTTGTGGTATTTTCATCTGTTCTGTAGGTCGCCTTTTTGCTGTTGATCGTGTCCTTTAATGCAGAAAAGGTTTTAATTTTCATAAAGTCCAATTTATGTATTTTTGTTACCTTTGACTTTGGTGTCATAGTTAAGAAATCACTGACAGATCCAATGTCACAAAGCTTTTCACTGTGTTTTCTCCTAAGGTTTTTATAGTTTTAGGTCTTGTGTTTAGATCTTTTTCCTTTGTGAAGTAGTTTTTGTAGATGGTGTAATCCCACAGGTGGGGGGGGGGTCTATCTAACCTTTTGGCGTCTCTGCACCACACCGGAAGAAAGTTGTCTGGGGCCACGCATTAAATATGCTGTGACACATAATCACAAAAACAATTTCATAATGTTTTTAAGTAAATTTAGATTTTGCGCTGGGCTGCATGTGGCCCATGGGCCGCAGGTTGGACACCCCTGGAGGTCAGGGTCCAACTTCATTCTCTTGCATGTAGAGACCTAGTTTCCCCAGCACCACTTGTCGGAAAGACTGCCCTTCCCCCTCGAAGGGATTTGAAACCCTCGTGGAAAATCAAATCATTTGGACATACGGGCTGTCTCATTCCACTGTTCTGTGTGTCTACCTTGATCACTGCCGATTACTGTAACTTCGTAGTAAGTTTTGAAATCAGGATGTTTGAGACCTCTGTGTAATCTTTCCAGGATTGTTTTGGCTTTTGAGGGTGTCTTTAGATGACATACATTATTTTAGGATCAGCTTTTCTGTTTCTGAAAAAAGCCATTGGGATTGTGATGGCAATTGCATTGAACTTGTAGGTGACTGTGGGTAATGCTGACATCTTAACAATATTAAGTCTTCTTATCTGTGAAATCAGGGTCTCCACTTACCGGTGTCTTTCATTCTTTTGGCAACATTCTGTGGTTTTTAGCATACAAGTCTTTGGACTTTATGGTTACGTTTATTTCTAAGGTATTTATTCTTTTGATTCTATGGTAGATGGAATTTTCTTAATTTTCAGGTTTTTCATTGTTAGTGTATATTAGTGTATAGAAATGCAACTGATTTTTGTGTGATTTTTTTAATCCTACAATTTTTCTGAATTCATTGACTAGCTCTAATGGTTCCTGTCTGTGTGTTCCTCCCTCCCTCCCTCTCTCTCTCCTCCCCTTGCCTAGAATCCTAAGGGTTTTGGCATGTAAGATCATGTTTCTACAAATAGATAATTTTATCTCTTTCTTTCCAATTTGGATACCTTTATTTTTTTTCTTGCTCTAATTGCTCTGGCTAGAATACTAGTACTAGTTGAATAGGAGGGGCAAAAGTAGGAATTCTTGTCTTGTTACTAATCTTAGAGGGAAAACTTAGTCTTTCACAGTTTAGTGTAATAGCTGTGAGCTTTTATCTTGAGATAGATTCTTTTGATTCTTAGTTTGTTGAGTGTATCATGAAAGGATGTTGAATTTTAAAGGCTTCTTTTATATGAATTTGAGATGGTTCTGTGGTTTTTGTCCCTCACTTTATTATATTGATTTCATGTGCAACCATCTTTACATTCCTGGAATGAATCTTACTTGGTTGTGTATGTGTTTTCCCACATGCTGTTGAGTTGGTTTCCCGGTATTTTATGGAGGGTTTTTGCATCGGTATTCATCAAGGATTCTGGTGTGTGGTTTCTAATAGTGTCTTTGCCTGGCTTTGGTGTCGGGGTAATGTGAATCTCACAGAATGAGTTGGGAAGTGTTCCCCTCAGTGTTTTTTGGGAGGAGTTTGAGAAGCATTTGTGGTAGCTTTTGTTTAAATATTTGTGAGAATTCAGTGAAGCCTTTTGGGGAGTTTTTTCCCTGTATGTTCTCTTTAATTTTTTAAAAAAGATTTACTTATCTTTAGAGAGAAGGGAAGGAAGGGAGAAGGGAAACATCACTGTGAGAGAGCGGCATTGACCAGTTGTCCTTCATAAGTGCCCCAGCTGGGGCCTGAACCCACAACCCAGCTTTGTGCTCTGACTGGGAATCAGACCAGCAACCTTTCACTTTGCAGAAGGCCCAACTGAGCCACACTAATCAAGCCTCCCTCCACCCCCTTTTTTAAAATTGAGATATAATTGTGCTGAGAGGTTTTTGATTGCTAATTCAGTCCTGTTGCTATTACTAAATAGGTCTGTTCACGCTTTCTTTTTTATCGTGATTCAATCTCAGTAGGTTGTATTTCTAGGAATTTATTCATTTCATCTAGGTTATCCAATCTGTTGGCATACAATCATTCATAGTAGTCTTATAATTCTTTTTCCTTTTCTAAACTTGATAGTAATGCCCCTCAGTCGTTTCTGAGTTTTGTCATTTGGGTCTTCTCTTTTCTTGCTTGTCAATCCAGCTAGAGATTTGTCAATTTTATTGTTTGTTTTGAAGAACCAAATCTTGGTTTCATTGATTTTTGCCGCAAGTTTTTTCTCTGATCATTGTTTCCTTCTTTTTGCTAACTAGCTTTAATGTGTTCATTTCCTAGTTCTTGCAGATATAAGTTCAAGTTTTTGATCTGGGGACTTTTCACCTGTAAGCATTTATAGCTACAAATTACCCTCTTGACACTGTTTTCACTGCATCCCGTAAGTTTTGATGTGTTGTCTTTTCTCTCAAGATATTTCTTAATTTCCCTTTGATTTGTTCTTTAACCCAATGATTTCTACATACTTGTGGATTTTCTAGTTTTTCCTCTGTTGATTTCTTACTTCTTTTCATTGTGATCAGGAAATACACTTTATCATTTCCAAAATTTTAAAAATGTATTGAGCCCTGGCTGGTGTAGCTCAGGATATTGAGTGCGGGTCTGCAAACCAAACGCCAGTTCGATTCCCAGTCAGGACGCATGCCTGGGTTGCAGGCCAGTTCCCAGCAGGGGACGCACGAAATGCAACCATACACTGATATTTCTCTCCCTCTCTTCTTCCCTTCCCCTCTAAAGATTAAAAAAAAATCTTTAAAAAAATAATTAAAAAATTTATTGAAACTTGTTTTGTGGTCTGCCATCATGATCTGTGTGGGGGAAATGTTTCATGTGTGCTTAAACATATGTATTCTGCTGCTGTTGGGTACAGTGTTTCGTTAATGTCAGTTAAGTCCAGTCGCTCTGTGGTGTTGTTCAAGTCTTCTATTTTTCATTGACCTTCTGTTCCATTATTGAAAATGGGGCAGTGAGTCTTCTATATTTCTGTGTTACCATCTCTTTCTTCAATTCTGTCAGTGTTTTATATGTTTGGGAGCTCTGGTTTTTGATGCATATGTTTATAGTGGTTCTGTCATCTTGGTTAGTCGTCCCTTTATCATTAATGTCCTCCTTTGTTGTAATAGTTTAAGACCGAAGTATATTTTCTCAGATTTTAGTGTATCTGTTGTTTTAGACCATTCATAGTTATCTAGTGGGAATAGAGACGTGGGATGGTAAGTCCATTAACATCATCATAGAGGTATTTGAAGTGGACCGAGAAGAGCTAGCCTTAAAGCAGGAAGGCAGCATCTGCCTCCCTGAGAAATGTCCATCCCGTCATGGACAGAGGGGTGATGCAGGTGAGCTTGATCTTAAATGAACTCGGGCCTCTCTCTGCACCACAGACACTGTGGTGAATGGGTAGAGTGGCCCTATCAGAAGGGTTTGGCCAGGATTCAGGAGAAAGGTGTAGAAATGGGGAAGGATTTAGGGGGAGACTAGTTTCCCTAAGTTATTTTTTGATATTTTTTTCAATACTCACCTGAGGACATGCTCACTGATTTCAGAGAGGGAGGGAGGGAAGGAGAACGAGAAAAACACACCTGTTTCCTCTTATACATTCCCCAACTGGGAATTAAACCCACAACCTTTTGGTGCATGAGAGGACCCTCCAACCAACCGAGGGGCCTGGCCAGGGCTCCCTATACTAATTATGAGTCAAAGTATGAGGACTGTTGTAAACTTGGTCCTGAATTAAGACCAAGAGAAAATACCATCACACCCTCAGTAAAATCGGAGATTTGCCTTATCTCTTCTCCCTTTAATATGTGATCTCCCCTTTTTCAGTACAAATTCCTAAAATGTAAAAGCGAGCCACATGTGAAGATTGAAGGAAAGGACACTGATGACTGGATGTGTGTGGACTTCGGTAAGTCGTTTGGGCACATCTGAAAGATAAATATTTGGCATTGCATTAACCTTGAACTATTTTCAGCCACAGAAGGATTGAGATCAAATTGCTGAATGTTTTCCCATGTAGAATTTTAGATTTTTTTATGGAAATTTTTTAAAAGATTTATTTATTTTTAGAGAGGAGAAGGGAAGGAGAAAAAGAGGGAGAGAAACATCAGTGTGTGGATGCCTTTCCCACACCCACTACTCAGGACCCGGCCTGCAACCCAGGCATGTGCCCTGACTGAGAATCAAACCCATGACCCTTTGGTTCGCAGGCCAGCAATCAATCCACTGAGCCACACCAACCAGGGATCCATGTAAAAATTTTGAAATGTTTGTTCACGTGTGAAACAAACGTGTGAAATGCTAAACTAACCTGGTATATACAAAATGAGGTCAGGAAGACGATGGTGAACAGGATGCGTACCAGGGTAGAGATGGGAGAGGATCCCTTAGTGGTGGGGGAAGGCTTGGTCTTCATAACCTTGGTCTTAAATAACCTGGCCAAGGTGAAGCAGAAGGGCATTCCAGGTACGGGACTGGAATTTTAAAAAGACCTAACATTTGGGTATTAATAAATACATAGTTTCAAAGTATTTTCCCACAAGGTACTAATTACAAAGAGAAAAAAGTAACATCAAGAACCATGAAGGGATCTGAGATTTTATCTTACTTGTAAGCTAACAAGTTAGCTGGCCAATTTCATGGATATTAGTAGAAGACTCAAGACTATTCCAGGTGAAAGCTGAAGGACAGTTTATTGCAGCAGCAGTAGCCAGGTGCAGCATTTTTTACACCGGGTGCCCCAGGCCCCAGATTCTGTAATGCAACACAGGGCCTCACACACAGTTCTAAGAGAGGAACCCTGAGACTAGGGTTTACAGTGGGCAAGAGGCAGGCCTGCATTTGCTCTGGTGGAAGACACTTTTTCTGGCAAAGCTGTAAGTCAGGGTTTCCCAGCTTTGTCACTGTTAACATTTGGACCATGTAGTTTGGTGGGAGTGGGTAGGACTGTCCTGTGCAATGTAGGATGTTTAGCAATATCCCTCCCTTTCTCTCTCCACCTCCAATTGTGAAAATCAAAAATGCCCTTGACTGAGAACCACTGCTATAAGCAAACCTGCCTTTTGCTCCAGAGAGATAGTATCTCTTTGTGGCTATTCACCATAAAACGTCCTTGAAAAAGATAGTCCAGAACAAAAGGCAGGCAGTGCTTTGCTCATAGGATGTGCAGAAATGTAACACATTTGGAGACTGGTCTCCCAAGAGAAAGTTGACAGGCCTCACCATTAGTCACTTAGATAAAGTTAAATTGAAGTTAACTTGAATAATGGTATGTACCAGTATCATGCACCTCCTCTGTGATGCACTGAGAAAAACAGCGGCACCTCCATGGTACCCTGCTGGCTGGGGTCCACAGTTTGTAGTTCTTGCAAGTTCCCAGGTGATGCTCATCTGTGGTCCACACTTAGAAAGCCACTGCTCGAGTTCCTGTGGTTACACTGAGTGACAAACTACCACAGGGGGTCATGAGGTCACAAGAACAGCAGCAAACAGACTATTTCTTGGTTGTCCCTCTTATCTGTCCTTGACAGGCAGCATGGTGATTCACTTGATGCTTCCAGAAACCAGAGAAAAGTATGAACTAGAGAAATTATGGACCCTACGTTCTTATGATGACCAGTTAGCTCAGATAGCACCTGAGACGTTACCAGAAGACTTCATTCTTGGACTAGAAGATGACACTTCTTCCTTGACTCCAGTGGAGTTCAAATGTGAATAAAATACGTTTTAGTCATTTCAGATTGAGACTGAGTCACTTCTCAAAGTACAGCTCATAAACCCCACCTAATTGGGTAAGTTGTTGTCAAAACAAATCTTATCTGACTACAGGCACCCAAGCTGACATCTGGCTGCGGAGACTGCAGGTGAGGGAGCATCAGCTATAGTTTTAGGCACGTCTTTATTGCTGCTACCCCATCAAGGGTCCTTGGAGCTGTCATGGGGCCCTGTGCTTCACCTCAGTTCTCTGCTCAGATTTTAATTAATTTTGCTTAAGTGTAAATAGTATGTAGAATAGAATAGCCAAAATTTTAATAAATAAAGCAAAACACACATAACCCTCCCACTGTTCCTGTTACTTAAAACGTATAGTTCTTCATATGCAACAGTATTATCAAGATTTACATTAAAGTACCGTGAAATGGAGAAAATAATTTACCACTAGGTATTGGTGCTTAATTCAAAATTACATGATATTACTAAAAATCTGTTTAAATTTGTAAATTATATTCACATTTATTTGAAAAGACCAAAAATAAAACATACTACACATCAAGCTGCACCTAATGATGAAAAACTTTATTCTGTATCAAGGTATCTGGAAATTGAAGCTGCATTTGGGGCACATTACAAATGAGGAATGATCCATATGCAGTGAGTACAAACTCAGTTACAGAATTATTTCCTAGCTACTACCAGATACTCCATTACCAATGCTTCATTGAAAGTAAAACATGATTTGCCACACTAAAAGGCTAGAAGTGAAATATGACAGAATTTAAACCAGCAGATATAAATGTAGCACCTATTTGTATTAAAAAAACAAAACATACCAACAAATAGTGGAAAAATCAAATGCTGAGGAAGAGCTCTGGCCATAAGCACATCTTACCTAAGAACCAACCAGAAAGCCAGTCCACGATTTTTTTTTAAAGCAATTTACTGTTCAGGGGAAAAAAATATGAATGCTAGGTGAATTCAGTGACAAAAAGGGCACTTTTTGGCTAAAACTACAAAATAAACTGATTTTCTGAAAACATTTAGGAAAACATTTCAAGTCATTTTCAAAATGTCTGATATGCTGGTCATCAGAAAAAACTTACCTAGTCTGTAGAAATTCATCTTGAAATACAAATGAGGCAAAATGATTTTTCAGGGGTTATTATATCTGTCCTTCAGATCCGTGTAACAGGATGACTGTGAACATTTTATAAACAAAAGCAACACAATTCTGAGAGCAGTGTGGCCTTGGAGACCCCCACAACCACATGAATGTACACTGGTCTTTGCCATCGAGTTACGGAATGGACAAATGAGTTCAGTATCAAATGTTGAATGTTTGATCACAGTCATTCAAACTATATTCCAAAAATCATTTTCTCACAATAGCTGGTTGCAGAGAATACAGAAATCCTGCTGCATTTTATGTATTATTTTAGGTGGCCTCTCACTTTCCTTGACTTATCCTTGTTTAAAAATCTTCAAAACAGCTTAGTGAGGCTCAGGACAGTGCCTGGCACACGCAGACACAGCCTTTTGCTGCCTTTGCACCGTCACACCACCTGACTGCCCCGTCGGTCTTCACGAAGCAGTTCCCTCGGGGTCTGCGGAAAGGGTGAACCCATGGCTCTGAGGCGTACTGGCGAACTAAGCATCCTCTAAGACAAGCTGAGGCTTGCTTTCTGCCAATCAGTTTACAGTCCACAGGGGCTGCTTCTCTTCACTGATGCACCTTCTTCAGGTAGTGATAGTCAGAAGCACAAACGTTTATGCATTCAATCACATAGCCAAACAAAAAAGGAAGTCTCCTGGAGCCATTTAAACTAGCCATTCCAAAACCACCTGCCACCACTTGGCTCTGTTAGTACCATCAAAAACCTCCCCTACCAAAACCCCAAAAATAAATTGTATTGCTGCTCTCCAAATATAGGCACTGCTCCATGTCACTGAACATGTATGTATTGGATTTTCCGACTAATAACTGTCAAAAGCCTCAAAAAACCTGAAATTAATTTTCCAGCTTTACTGTTACCAGAAGTAAAATTTCTGTTATTTGCCTGTTAGCTAATTAAATTTTAAGTTTATTTTTTAAAAAACAGTTGGACTTATCTTTATAAAGTATATAAAATTTAAAAAAAAATTGCTTTCATTGCATTACTGAATACCTGAGGTAGTTGAGTAAAAATGCACATTTAATACCCCTGCCAACACCATTCAGCACTTCCCTTATGTTATTCATGTTAGTGTTAGGTACACACAAAACAGACAGTTTTTCTATGCTAGTAGCTTCACATATATTTAAGTTCCTGTAATCTCTTCTGACTTAGGAGCAACCGATTTGTATTTATTTGATGGATTTAGTGAGTGCATCATGGAGCCAATGTCTTGCATCATAGGGGAGAATTAAGAAAAATTAGAATATTTGTTACACTGAGAACACAACAAAAGGGAAGTGCAGAGCTCCTCTCTTTTCCTCCCTCCCCCCTTTATTTTTTTTTTCTTTTTAAAGCTGGGTGTCACACATTTCAGAGAGCATAAAGTATACATTCTCACAGAGACAGGAGTTCGAAAGTTGCCTGGTCCTCAGAAACAAGTGGCTAGGTAAAAACTTGTGCATGTGATTCTGGATGGGGGTTCAGCCGCCCGTCTGTTGGTTAAGCAATCTGTCTTTGGTTTGGCGTCTGCCTCTGTGCTGGGCGGTTTCCTGAGCCTTTACTTCCGTCTTGACTGAGGTGGTCCACTTTGCAGAGCTTTCTGCTGTTGGTGCTGCTTTACCTGAGTCAGAATTTCCTGAATTTTTCTCTGGGCAACCTACAAAAGGACAGCACTTTGAAATTTCTACCTGGTCAAAAGTTACTAAAAGTTGTTCTACTTTGCCATTTCAAAACTTCATGAAGTTTATTTGAAGATTAATTATACATACTAATTAGTTTAGTTTGCTAGTAGAGTCTCTGGCGTAACCAGAGCAGGGATTGGAAGTGTTTGGCACTAGAAGCAGCAGGCCCTGCACCGGAGGCACAGGCACGTGGGGGCAATGGGATGGGCTGCTCAGCCCCGCCCCCCAGGGGCAGGGTCTCAGGAAGGGGTGGCAGCTGCATGTCCTACAGCAAAGGTGGCGAGAAGCAGGCCAAGGAGATAGACGAGGAAGATAAGGCCTTCAAGCAGATTCAAAAAAGGAGAAGACACTCCAGGAGCTGAAAAGCTAGCTGTTCCTGGTGCCCAGGGCAATGGTGATCCCTAATTTCAATCCTGTTTAACATCTGCACTCCCCATCATAACTTTTGCCACCTACGGCTACAGTGCAGTATTGTCTTGGAGCCTGTTGCACATTTAGAACAAGCTTGTGTAGAAAATAAATCATCATCGTCAGGCAGTGGCTCATCCCTTTACCTCCTTCTCACTCTGCCATTTCAACCTCAGCTGTAAGATCAGAGTAAACCCAGCCCAGAGTCCTGTCCAAGTGTGTTCTTCAGTCTTTGTTCTACACTGAATTTTGTGCTGCCTGGAACCAACTCATTTGAAAAACAATAAAAATCAATAAATTTAAAAAAATTTTAGGGGTTTGGCACTAAACAATTTAAAATATTTATATGGGGTGGGGGCACCCACAGGAAAATTGCTTCCCTTTGAGAAAGAAGCAACAAACTAGCTCATCACGTGAGAACCCACTTGCCTGGCAAGCATAGAAGTGACCAGTTATTTTGACCACCACTTGATCATTCTCATCAGGCGTCTGGTCACGAGGGACAACAACTTCTGCGCTAGACAAATTCTGGAGCTCATTCACCTGAAAAAGATAAATACAATTTAAGTTGCTTTTTTCAAGTTGCCATTTCCTGAGCACTTACTATGTGCCAAACACTAACTATGGCTTCACAAATTTCAACCAATCCACTAATGATCCTGTCTAGTTTTTAATACCATCCCCATGGCAAGATGATGAAAACTGGAGCTTACCCAAAGAAATTGACTTGCCTAAAGCTGTAGAAGGGAATCAAAATCGAAATTCAACCCTGAGAGTCTGGGTTCCCTTTCAATCACTTGAAAATTGTAAGTAGCTTTAAAAACAACATAGTTACATGTATTGGGTTAGCCAAAAAGTTCGGTTAGTTTTTTCTACATGATGACTCTAGTAGTGCTTAGTTGTCTTTAATTTCATTTGAAATAGTTTTGTTACATTGTATGTGACAGCTGTCATGTCAGTGTGCATTTAAAAAAAATCAAAATTGGGGAATTTTTGTGCAGCCACTTTAATATTGAAGATGGAAGAAGATAATGCAACATTTTTGGTGTGTTATGCTTTATTATTTCAAGAAAGGTAAAAATGCAATTGAAACGCAAATAAAGATTTGTGCAGCATATAGAGAAGGTGCTGTGACTGACTGAGTCAGAAGTGGTTTGTGAAGTCTCTTGGTACTACTGACATTTTGGCCAAATAATTCTTTGCTGTGAGGCTGTCTTACGAATTGGAAGATGTTTAGCAGCATCTACTCACTAGGAGACAGCCGATGCACTCAAAATATCCAAATCAATAAAATTATTGGTGAAAATAAAAACATGTCTTATTTTATGGAAAGAAACTAAACAGACTTTTTGGCCAACCCAATATTAAAGAGACACTGGAAACCATTTTCTTTCTTCAGTTATAGAAGTACAAGTTATAAAGGTAAACAAAACTTAAAAAATTTTTATGTCATTGTGCAATAAAAATGTAAAGAGCTGAGTTGTGTCAATAGAAAAATGCTAAGTGCCCCTTGTAAGTGTGAGAGCGTCTTCTCACTCAAAGTGGCTTGAGAGGCGCTCCTTCCACCAGCAGCTGACACCGGCACGTACGTAGACAGGAGGGACAAACGGCAGGCACCCTTCTCCAAACCGGGCCCAGGTGGTCCTGCTTTCTACACGTTAGCCAAAACTCAGGGACTTGGAACTCCTAAGTACCTTTCGACGCTCTCCCTTTCATACCACTGCACAGGTTTTGCTGAAGTACTTGCCGTTTTGCCTCCTTTTCCAATAACT